GGTGTGTGGAGCAGCAGCAGGCAGAGAGCACACTGGGAATGGCAGGAGTCTTTTGAAACTTCAGAGCCCGCCTCAGTGTCACACTTCTTCCAACAAGGTCACACCTCCTAAACCTCTGTCTTAAGCCAGGCAAGGTGGCACATACCCGGAATCCCAGCACTTGGGAGGCAGAGGCAGGCAGATCTCTGTGAGTTCCAGGCCAGCCTGGTCTACAAAGTGAGTCCAGGATACCTAAGGCTACACAAAGAAACCCTGTCTCGAAAAACAAAAACAAAACAAGCAAAAAAGAAAACAAAAAGACCCACAAACAAAAACAAAAACCCTACTACCTCAGTCACTGTTCTGTTGCTGTGAAGAGACACCATGACCAGCGTAACTTATAAAAGAAAGCGTTTAATTGGGGCTTGCTTAGACTTTCAGAGGGTTAGTCCACAGTCTTGGCAGGCAGCATGGCAGCAGGCATGCAGGCGCGGCACTGGAGCTGCTAAGAACTTACATCTTGATCCATATGCAAATCAGAGAGAGAAAGACAGACTTGGCCTGGTGTGGGCTTGGCCTGCAACAAGGCCACACTTTCTAATCCTTGCCAAACAGTTCCACCAACTGGGGAGCAATGATTCAAACCTATGAGCCTGTGGGAGCAATTCTCATTCAAACCACAACAATCTCCGCTATAGTCTCCAGAGACCATCAGGGCACCAGGACTTGGACCTCATCAATGGATTAATCCCTAGACAGATTCACGACCTGCTAGTATTGGAAAGTATGAAGTAGGAGATGGGAGGAAGTGGGCTGCTGGAGGGGGATCTGCCTACATCTTAATCTGCCCCTTCCTGTATGCCTGTCTTCTGTCTGCCCCTGCGTCACCGTGTATGTGTGGGGGTTAGAGAACAACTTTGGGGTTCTCTCCTTCTGCTGTCTATGGATTCTGGAGATTGAACCCAAGTCATCAGTCTTGAATGGCAAGACTTGCCAGTGGGGACTCTGACTTTTTTTATTTTTATTTTTTTTGACACAGGATATCACTGTGCAGCCCTAGCTGGCCTTGAACTCACAAAGATCCATCTGCCTCTGCCTCCTACATATCAGGACAAAGTCTGTGCCACTATGCTCAGCAAAATGGCCACTACTCCCTGTGCTTTTTTTTTTTTTTTTTTTTTTTTGCTTTTTATATTGAGATAATTTTGACTTACAGAAGTTTTGCAAAAATAGTATCCAGTCCTTGCTTCCCCTTATGCTAACCCAGATTCTCCCATATGCTAGCATCTTATGTAACTACAGAACCATTGTCAACAGCAGGAAATTAACCTTAGTACAACGCTAGGAACTTGATACAGACTTGGGACTGGGCTAGTTTCCCGCAAGGGCCAACCTCCTCCAGTGTATTACGCTGAGCCCCTGAGCCCGTGCAGTTAGGGCCCACTTTTTTTGGGGCTCCCTCTAGTGCGAGAGTTCTCAACCTGTTTTTCTGGCTTTGTTTGGTTTTTTTAATGAGCATGTCTATGTTTAAGAGCTAATGCATACAGCTGCCGACAGAGGCCAGAGGAGTGCACCAGACATCCTGTAATTGTTACAGAAAACTTGTGGGCAGCAGTGTGGGTAATGGGAATTGAACTCTGGTCTTGGGTCCTGAATGCTCTGCAAGGGTAGTCTGAGGAGCCATCTCTTTCACCAGCCCACATGTCTGTAGCAATGGGGCTGGAACCCAGTGACTTATATGTGCAGGTGCTCTCTGAGCTACTTTCCCTGCCCTTGTTTTGCCTTTCACAGTTTGTGGTATGGTCTTGTTAGGTTGCCTAGACTAGCTTTGAACTACCTCTGTAGTCTAGGCAGGCCTTGAATTTGCAATCCTCCAGGTCCAGCTTCCCAAGCAGCTGAGATAACACACCTATACCACACGCCTGGTCATAGCCTTTACTTTTTTGCCTGATCCTTGCAACAGCTTGGGTCCTGGAACCCTGACTAGGGGCAGTGAGGGATGCCAGGATGACAAGACATGTGTACAGGAAAAGCTGGGATTGGGTGGGCTGGGCTTTGATGGAGAAGGCACAGCACCCAGGAAGCTCAGAGCTGATGAACAAGGAGGCAGGTTTAACTAAAGTCAGAAGGAACTGTCTTCGCAGGCAAGCGGTCTTCAGGCTCACATTCCAGCCAGAGGAAGGCTTTGCCATCCCTCAGGCAAGGCTCTGAAACTCACAGGGCTAAAGCACTGGGGTCTTTAATATGGATGGCCACACCCATCAGCAATGCATTCACTCAGGACTTCACTCCCTCCCTATACTTCCCAATGCTTTCATACAGAGAGTCTCACTGTATATGTATACCCCTGGCTGGCCCAAACCTCACTCTGTAGACCTAGATGGGCTTGAACTCAAGAGCTCTGCCCGCCTCTGCCTCCCAGGTGCTGGGATTAAAGAAGGTTGATACCCTACCCTGCCCGGAAATATTATTTTAAAAGGAAAAAGTGTGAGTTTGAGACCAGCCTGCCTTACAGAGCCAGAGCCAGGACAGCCAGAGCAACACAGAGAAACCCTATCTCAAAAGAAATAAAAAGGAGGCTGAAGAGATGGCTCAATGGTCAAGAGCACTTGCTGATCTTGCAGAAGACCTGGGTTTGCTTCCCAGCACCCACACAGAAGCTCACAACTATCTGTAACTGTAGGATGAGACACTCTCTTAATGGCTACTGCATGCAAGTGGTATACAAATACACATGTAGGCAAACACCCACTTGCAATTTAAATTTTAAAATTAAAGAATAAAAATTAGCGGGGCAGTGGTGGCACACACCTTTAATCCCAGCAGTTAAGAGGCAGAGGCAGGGGGATGGATGAATTCAGGACAGCCAGGGCTACACAGAGAAACCCTGTCTCTCAAAGCAAAGCAAAACAAAACAAAAAGCAAACTACTACTACTAATAATAAATAATTGATCACATATTATATAATAAAAATTTACTTTCAAAATTATATTCTTGAACAAGTACAGTGATACATGTCTTTAATCCCAGCACTCATGAGGCAGAGACAAGTGAACCTCTGTGATTCCGAGGCCAACATGGTCTATATAGTGAGTGTCTAGCCAATGTTACATAGCAAGACCTTGTCATGAAAAAAGGAAGAAAATACATATACTTCTACTCATTTTTAACTCATTGCTTGCTTAGAAAATCCAGAGTAGTGCTCACTCTGACCTTGAGAAAAAGTACCCTGCTTCTGATTTTTCAAAAACATCTTAGGTTGGTTTGTTGGTTTCATTTCTTAAGACAAGGTCTCCCGGGGCTGGAGAGATGGCTCAGAGGTTAAGAGCAGTAGTCTGCCCTTCTAAAGGTCAATTCCCACATGGAGGCCCACCACCATTTACAGTGAGATATGGTGCCCTCTTCTGGCATGCATAATAAACAAATAAAATCTTAAAAAAAAAAAAAAAGACAAGGTCTCATTACATAGCCTTGTTTTATATATATATAACTTATTTTATTTCATGTGCATTATATGTGTGAGGGTGTTAGATCTTGGAGTTAGAGACAGTTGTGAGCTGCCATGTGGGTGCTGGGAATTGAACCCTGTCTTTTGGGAGAGCAACCAGCGCTCTAACCGCAGAACCCTCTCTCTACCCCTCTAGCTTGTTCTTTAACTCACAGAGATACTTCTGCCTCTGCTCCCTGAGTGCTGGGATCAAAGGCGTGCAGCATCATACCCTGGAATCTTTTTTTCTGAGGAGAGAAATGAGAACAGACACAGATTTTTGACGTTCAAGAAAGTTGCGCACAGAACCACACAACTGATTGTTCGTAGGTATTTTTTACTGAGCATTAATATTGTATTTCTCCTTCTGGAAATTCCTGGGAGATTAAAACAAACACAAAGCAAAAAGGTTGTCTTCCAGTGCTCTCCCTCAACTGATTTCGGCAAACCCACACTTTGCAGGCAAACTGCTCCACACAGCACAAGACAGGTTGAACTGCAGGTGTGCTGGTAACACCGCAAAGAGGCTTATAGTGTTTCCAGAGCTCAGAGCAGGGTCCACTGGTTCCTACACACTCAGCAATTCGGTATCTGAGTCCAGGACTCAAGACAAGTTATAAAACTGGAAACAGGCCAGGCACGGTGGCACATGCTTTTAATCCCAGCAGGGAAGCAAAGGCACAAGGATCTCGGATTTCAAGGCCAGAATGATCTACACTGTAAGTACAGCCAGGGATATAAAGAGAGACCTGACTCAAAAACAGAATAAACAAAATTTAGGGTAGTTTTGTCTACAGGTATGTATGTGCACTGGAGGCCAGAGGGCATGGAATCTCCTGGAACCGTTACTTCTGACGGTTGTGAGCCACCGCGTAGGTGCTGGGAATCGAATGGGCTCTATTCAAATTTAAAGCAAGTCTCACAGGCTTTTCCATTTCGTCCCACTGTCATGCCACGTGTAGAATTCCAAAGCCCTTTGTGAGTCTGTTTCTGGACCTGGAAAACAGAAGCGAAGGTCCTCTTGCAGAATTAAATCAGTGTAGCGCCCTTCAGGTGAACTGCTGAGCCAGAATCTGGCAAGTGCAGCTGAGTGCAAAGCAAACCTCAGTAGCCATGCCTGAGAGCGGGGACGGGTTGGGCTGCCTTAAGGAGCTGAATAGCCGAGGGGGAGGAAAGCTCAAAGAACCAGGCCAGAGGAGCGCCCCAAAGTCCTTCAAGAGGCCTTAGAGTGCTGTCTCGTCCAGACAGGCCACCGAACGAACACATCTGCGCTCACCTGGCCTGAGCCCCTTCTCCCGGGATTCTGGAAAAAGCCACGCAAACGCACACAGACACAGTCTAGAAGTCCCAGGCCCCCTCACTTCCGCCAGACCAGCTCCAGATCGCTCTTTCCGGCTAAGGACCAGGTTGGCGGCCGGCTCCCGAAGCAGGCGGGGCCTACGCAAGCCACGCCCATCGCTGGCGGCCGCACGTGCCGGCGATAGCCCATTGGTCCCGCCTCCGTGACGTTTTTCCGGGGCGGTCCGGGTGGGGCCCAGCGCGCCTCAGCAAGCTGAGCGAACTGGGCTTCGCTGCGGTCCACGTCCCCGCGCGGGGCTGAATCGCTGAAGTGGCTGCGCTGCGGTGCGAGGGCCACGGGCCTGCCGCGCCCGGGTAAGCGACCCGCGCTGCCGTCCGGGGAACCGTCGTGAAGGGCCCATGAACCGGTTGGGGATGGACAGCGAGGTGCGGGGCGGAGGAGGGATGAATGGGGACCTGGTGCCTAGGCGGTGAGGAATGGAGGAGAGGAGGAGAAGGGAGGAATGGGCCGAGCCCTTAGAGAAGCAGGGATGCGCAGAGGGAGGAGGTGGGCCGACGGCGATCGACAGCCTGCCAGAGCCGATGCTGGGCAGTTTGAGAGCATTCTACGAACACTCGAGAGTAGGCGAACCCTGGATCAGGCTGTGCCCTAGAAGGTGTTGATCTCAGAAATAGTTGAGGCCTGCTCCCCAAACTCTTCTACCTTCTAGTGTGGAAAGCCCGTCATATTTTCCTTCTCTTTTGCCTACTAGCCTCCCTCCCCTTGTGGCCGCTAGCTTGTTCGCTTAACGGTCTGGACAGAGCTCAGAAAGCCGCCTCTAAGAACTTGTATTACTTACGTCCCGACCCCTCGGAAGCCTCTTTAAAATTTCAATAAAATCAACCACAAACTGTTTAAAAATACAGTTTTTCCATCTATAAATTAGCTCTGCCTAATAGCGAAATAGCAATAGTGCTGGCGTGGATGGGAAGCTTTAGAACAGCAGACCTTTGGTATTTAGTGGTGAGGCGTGAACGTCCAGAAACCTGGAGGTAAGCAGTGCAATTAAGGTAATATCTGTATGTTCCGGGATCACGGGCTAATGTCTGCCACATGGACACAGCCTTTGGATCACAGGGCAGTGTCTTTGTATACAAGCCCAACCAGGCGATGTGTCAGGATTAGTTGGGTGGCGTGGTTTGTCCCGTCCTGTTAGCTTTCCCAGTCTCTGTTGCTGTGTCTGTGTAACTTCCCTAGCTTGGAGCGGAGATGGGGACCTGCTGATAGGGACTGTTAGTGGTCTTTGCCGAGTCTGGACCTCTTGTATTGAATCTGTGCATGTTGGAGGAAAAGGTCAACAACTTGAGGTCTCTCTTTCTGTGATTTGTATCCAGCAATCTATACATCTCAAAAAAGAGTTAAAAGTCAAGGCAAGGTTTGGAATGCAAACTGTCAAACACTAAAGGAATTGGGAGGTATTTCGAGGGCACTGGGACTCAGACACGTCACCTGACCGAACTTTGGTGGGAGCAGCCCAGGAAACGCAGACTTAAAGCCTTATGCATATAGACTTTGCCCTGTGGTAAAGGGTGTGCCTGTGTAGCAGATGGGAATTTGGAACATTAGATAATGGCCGCTTTGTGAGCTGGCAAAAAGGTGTCCTGCTGCTCATCTCTTGAAGATCCTGTGGGGAACTGAGTCTCAAAAAGGAGGAACCCTCAGCCCTAGTCAGCCCATTCTAGTCTCTGATTAATACTTGTTTTTTCCTGTATGTGCATGAATGTTTTATCTGCATGGATGTCTGTGTATCTGCATATATCCGAATACATGCTAGTAATGCCCTCGTAGGCCAGAAGAGGCTGTTGGATCCTCTGAGACTGGAATTAAGGGACTGTCATTGGACAGTGCAGGCCCATAACCTCAGCACTGGGGAAAAAACAAGTGGCCTTGGGGGCTCTCTGGCCAGTCAATCTCATCAACGTATCAAGCTCCCGTGGTCTCCATTAAGAGACCTGTTTCAAAATATGTAATATATAATATATGATAGATGGCTGAAGAGATGGCTCAGGGGTTAAGAGCGCTATTAAACATATTTTTATATGTATGGGTGTTTTGCCTCCTTGCGTATCTGTACATTGCGTGCATAAAATGCCTGCAGAGGTAAGAAGAGGGCATTGGCTCTCCTAGGACTGGAGTCACAAATAGTTGTGAACCGCCGTGTGGGAACTGAGAATCCAACCCTGGTCATGGAAGAAGACCCACTCTTAACTGCTGAGCTGTCTCTCCAGCGAGGTCTCAAGACCACTCATGGCAACACTCTCCTTCAATCTCAGCACTGGAGAGGCAAAGGCAGGCAGATCTTCATGAGTTCAAGGCCAGTTCACATAGCTTGTTCTAGGCCAACGAGGGCTACACAGTAAGAACTAGTCTAAAAAAAAAGTGAGTTCTCACTATGAATCTCTGGCTTTGAGCTCTTTATGTAGATCAGGATGAACTAGAACTTTTGCCTGTCCTCCTGCCTCTGCTCCTGGAGTTCCTGGGATTGAAGGTATACGCTGCCATGCCCGGGTCCTACAGATAATGAGAACACTGAGGTCTACACTCTGACTTAAGGCTCTCTAAAGTCTCTCTAAAGAACTGTTGTTCTTTATGAGTCAGTCTGCAAAGGTTCTGCTACGTTGTTCTGTGGACATGGGGTCTTACTCTGTAGCTGGGGTGGCCTTGAACTTGCCTCTTGCCTCTGCCTCCCCAGAGCTGGAATTACAGGCATGTGTCACCATCCCTAGCTCTGCATGTGACCTTGGCATCGACCGTGCCATAGAGATGAAGTCACAACACAGCAAAGGCCTTCTTGCCTCTCCTCAGTGGCTAATTCCTGTTTGTGTAGGAGTTCTGCACCCACCTACTGGCTGGGAGTCAGTGACTAGGGGTGGCACACAGCAGAAGTCTTCCAAGAAACTTGTGGAGTGTTTTAGAGATAGTCTTGTGGAGCTGCCCCCCCTTCCTCCCTCTCCCTCTCTCCCTCCTTCCTTCTCCTTCTCTCTCCTTCCCTCTCCTCCTCCCTCCCTCTCTCCTCTCTCTGTCCCTCCCTCTTCCTCTTACTCCCTCTCTTCCTCTCCCCCTCCCCCTCTCCCTCCTTCCTTCTCTCCCTTCCTCTCCCTCTCTCTCCCTCTCTCTCTCCTTCCTTCTCCCTTCTTCTCCCTCTCCCTCCCTCTTTCTCCTTCTCCTTCTCCCTCTCCCTCCTTCTCTGTCATTTGTGTTTTTCTTCATGTGTGCATGCATGCACTGAGTTGTGTGACTTCCTACACATGTGGCTGCTCGCTTGCATGCATATGGCTGGCTATGTGCAAACACAGGTCTGTGCAGGTGGGCCTGTGTGCACAGGTGTGCGCGCTTCTGTACATTTGTTTTGGATAGCAGTTTTGTGGCAACACTAGGGCGTCACCATCTGCTAATGCGTGTCCTCTGGAAGGTGAGAAGCTGCTTCTCTAGTCTACGGGCATCACCATCTGCTTGACTCCACCTGCCCTCTGGAAGCCGAGGAGCTTCCGAGTGTCCATTAAACACTCATCAGTGAAAGCTGGGCCTGATAGCTCACACTTGCTATCCCAGCATTTGGGAGGCTGGGCATCTTGGACTACATGGCAAGTTCCAAGCCAGCCTAGGTTACAATGGGAGACCTTGCCTCAACAACATAACCCAGAACACGTCTCTCACCTGAGTTTCAGCCCTTCCAACGGGTGGCTCACGACTGTTTACACCTCCAGGATCATCCAATTCCTCTGACCTCTGGGGGCATCTGCTCACACATGCACATACCCACAGAGATATACATGAATATTTGTAGTTAAAAGAAAAAAAAAAAAAAAAGAACCTTAAAACTTAGCTACAGCCATTCCCCAGTAAGAGGATGGTTGGCTTAGTGTCCTCGCATTGCGCTCCTGATTCCACTCAGCTCCAGTTGCCTCCCAGAAAAGTGGGTTTCCTGACAGATAAATCAGCTGGTTTATCAACATTTGCCTTTTCATTTGTTTGTTTTGTTTTTTACTCTCCCTGTGAGGGCCAGCAAGATGGCTCAGGGTAAAGGCACTCACTGGTCACTAAGCTTGCTGCCTCCCGGAGTTTGAACCCTGCAGCCCATGTGGTGGAAGGAGACAGCAGATTCAGGGTGTCCTTGAGCCTCCACACATTCCCTGTAGCACAGGTGCACGCGTGTACACACATAGAATTAGCTGTTTTGTTTTAATTAAGAAAAAAATAAGACTCCTTCCAGGCAGCAGGGCACACCTTTAATCCCAGCACTCAAGGGGCAGAGGCAGGCAGATCTCTGAGTTCGAGGCCAGTCTGGTCTACAAAGTGAACTCCAGGACAGCCATGGCTACACAGAGAAACCCTGTCTCAAACAAAGCAAACAAAATAGTTCTTGTGTTAGAACTGCTGCATCAGAAGTTGTGGCGCTGACAGCTCTGATACCTGTCCTTTTCCCAGCACTGAGCTCTGAGTGCTGCCCCCCTGGGGCCTCCTCATTAGACGTTTGTCCCTTGTCCTTCCTAAGCAGTGTCGGCTCTCTTTCAACCCTAGGTGTGTCTAATACCACAGAGGAGCAGCTGCCTCTGTCCCGCATGCGCCTCAGCGAATGCCATGGCCGGGGATTGCCCCGCCAAGCCGCCCTCACCTGCAAAGCCAGACTTAATATGGCAAGTACGGGATGCCAAGCCCACAGCTGCCCAAGGAGGACATCAGCCCTGCCTCCTAGTCCGCACTGAGCAGCCGCCTCTTGTGAGTGTCCTGGGCCCTGCCTGACTGGGGCACCTGACAGAGAACCTAGGAAGGGCCCTGGGGTGCCAAGTTTGTAGAATCAACGGGAAGATACCGGGTTGGTACCTCTCTGGCTTAGCTGAATCAGCTGCCTTGAGGTGGGTGAAAGCACCAGAGCCACAGTTGGCAAACTACAGCTTGTGGGCTATGTCTCCGGGAATATGTACTGTGTGAATAAGCTTTTACTGGGACACAGCCACTGCTGTCTGAGGCAGTCTTTTTGCTGTAGTGGCAGGACTTAAGTAAGTAGCTGAGATACGGCCTGCATGGTCCCCTGTCCAAAATATTTGCTCCAAGAAAATTTGCGTACCTCTGTCCCAGATTGGTAGTGGGCACAGTTGGTGCTGAGGCCCTCCCTAGCCACTGGAAATGCCTGTCACATTTTTTTCTCCTTCAACTCACCGGCAGACTTCCAACCCAGGGCTGAGGCTCAGGGAACACCCCGAACCTGCTGGAAACATCTTTAGGCTATCAGATGAAAGTGGTCCAAGAGCCAGGTGAATGTCTTCATTTGCCATGGCTCAGATGCCTGACCTCTCAGTGTGAAACCTTTGTTTCAGCTCTTCCCTGACGCACTGTTACTCTGTCTCTTCTCACTACCCCACCCCACCCCTCACTCTTTTCTTCTCACAGAACAAACATTCTGTGCCCTAGAAAATAAGACCCACCTGGTGAAGGGATGAGAAGTCTTCACCCTGTTGAGGAGGCTCTCTCCTGGCCAGCTCTAATTCTAGAGGTAGAGAGTGGACTTTCCAGAAGGGACAGTGAAACTGGGTCAGATGCTTTAGGCAAGGGGAGGCAAGACATAGGCAGGTCAGTATTGCCCTCATGGCTGCTTGAGTACGGTCCTGGTCTAAGCACTGGGCTTAGTTTACACCGGGGCCCCTACAGAGCCCTGGGCCTCTGGGGAAGCAATGTGCTGCTGAGTGAACACCTCTGACCAACTTGCCTTCTTCACCCCAGGTCCCTGGGCCGAGCAGAAGGCCACTGTTGAGAGTCTGAAGGGCTGGCCGCCTGAGGCTCCGAGCCCAGCACCCCAGCTCTCACCCCACCAGCAAGATGTGGACAGCCCTGGTGCTGGTTTGGATTTCCTCCGTGCCCTTATCTAGAAGCCATACGGTGTCTGATGAGCCACGTGAGTGAGAAAGCTGACCACCAGGAGCCCCCTAGGATCTGACTCCAGAAGGGAGGCATCCTCACACCCCTGCCCTCCTAGCTACAGGACTGGGAGGGCCTGTCCTGAGCACAGGTGGGAGCCCGGGTGTGACCGGGGCAGAGGCCTGCAGAGTTGCCCATCCTGCGGGGATCTCCTGTTTGTCAGGGTTTGTTGGCGCATCCATCTTGAGTGGGCCTCTGCCCCGCTGGGCTCTGCTCATCCTTCCGCCAGGCCCATCACTGAGGCAAGGCCATTTACAGTGCCACTGTCTGTGTAGCCGCTCTTCCATGTAAACTTCCGGGGGGGGGGGGGTGTGCAGGGGTTGAGGTTTGCTTTGTTTTTCTTGGCTAATCACATATGTGAACCTTCTGATCTGATGCTTTAGGAATTAGATACAGTTCCAAAGTTCTGAAACCTCCTCGGGCTGGAGCCTCAGAACAGGCAAAGGAATTCTTAATTCGGGGTGTCATGGGCTCTGGGCAGCTGTTGTCAGCTGGCGGGGGTGGTGAGAGGAGACATAGGGCTCGAGTCACTCCCATCAGCACCCAGGCTAGAATATGGTGCCATACAGCCAGGACGGGGGCGGAGCCGAAGGGGACACCAAGTCACCCTACATGTGGTTGAAAGTGTTCTATGTCTCTCTTCTCTCCTGATTTTAAGGATACTTAGTCACTACCAAGATGTGGTCTAAAGCAGTAAAACAAAGCATGCCTAGGGACACAGTTCCAAAGGCTGAAAATGTAACTACTGAGGGAAAGGCCACAGTGCTGCCTGCTCCCATCACAGCCACCACAGAGACCCGGGCAGCCGTCCTGAACACCATCACAGCGACAGCCAGGGTGACAACGCACTGGACAAACATGGGCACCCCACCAGCCAGAGAGGGTACGACAGAGAGTGTGACCTCCAGGACTCCTGCACCACCTACACCATCAGGCCCCTCATCTGGGGGGCAGGCTCTACCCATCACCACCGCTGGGCTTCCCTCTCTCAGCACACCACATGCAGAAGTGCCAAGAACAAATGCCAGCGCATCACCAGGAACAGCCACAGTGGCAGCCGTGGCCCCACACACCGCGACTGTTGCTGCAGGCACCATGAACACTAGTGGGCCTCCCACAAGGACGCCGAGTCCTGCCAAAAGCACACCCACTAACACATCCACCACGAGCCCTATACCCACCCCAGGTGTCCAGACGCAAGATACCACTGTCCAGGTGACAACAAAACAGCCAGTGAATAGCACAGTGGGTAGATTAACACCGACTCCCTCAAACACCACCCTGGCGCCCACCACCACCACCCACTCTGTGGCTTCAGTGTCCCCTATGGTACTGACCACCACCCAGGTAAAAACCAAGGAGCCAACTGCCAGCACAGTGCCAATGCCTCCTACCAGCCCCAGCCCTGGAATGGAAGCCACATCCCCCACCACACAGCCAAACCCTGCATTACCTAGCCAGGGGACAGGCAGGACAGGCGAGCCAGGCACGCCCCTGACAACAGAACAGGTGGGGACCAAAGCCACAGCCGGCACTGCCTCCACTGGGCCAACACCCAGAAGCTCAGGGGACCTGAAGGTGCCAACCACAGACTCGTGCCAGCTCAGCACCCAAGGCCAGTACCTAGTAGTCACCACTGAGCCCCTAACCTCCTCCTTGGTGAACAAAGTATTACTTCTGGTGGTGCTCGTCCTCGGGGTGGCCCTCTTCATCGCGGTCCTGGTGATGTTTGCCCTGCAAGCCTACGAGAGCCACAAGCAGAAGGACTACACACAGGTGGACTACCTGATCAACGGCATGTACGCCGACTCGGAGATGTGAGGGCCCCCAGGAGGCCAGCCTCTCCCACGGCCTTTGTTCTCGCCCCAGACCAAACCAAGTGCTTCCAGATCTTCTCGGTGCAATCCCAGAGCTGTGCCACATGCTTAAAGACATTTAACTGCTGTCAGATCAACCCCATGATCACAAGAGAGCTGCCTTTTCATATTTATTTTTTTAAATGATGACATAAGCAGGCGTGGCCAGGGCCGAGGGGGCCTGACCTGCTCGGCTCTTGGTGTGGGAAATCTTGGCCAGAATTAAAAGCAATTGACTGCTCTCCATCTGCCTTGTGTGGGTCTGTGTGTCCTGCCCTCGGTCACTCCTGGTGTAGCCTTTCAGATGCTTGGTGGGGCTTGCTTGTGTAAACATGTAGTATGATATGAGTCCCTGGAGAGCTGCTGTGCTCAAGCCACTGGGCTCCCTCCCATGCCCAGGTGCTCAGCGGAGTCTTCAGCCAAGTCCAGAGCTGCTCCTTGGTGCTGGCAGTTGGCTGTGCAACCTTGTGGGTGCTGAGCCTCTTAGAGCCCAACCTGGGTAGAAAAGAGCCAAATCCAACATAAACCATAAAACAGCCAGCTTGGCTCTACATGACACATGCCGCCAGAACACTGGCCACCCAGCTCAGCCACAGGTGGGACAGTTGGTCCAAGGCCCAGTGTGCTCCCAGTCTGGGTTCAGAGCCTTCTCAACAGGGTATTTCTGGATTCCAGGCGTTTGGCATGAGCAGCAGCCAGAGGCAGTATTGCCGTGTCCAGCCACCATCCTCGTGAGTGCGTGTAACACACTGAGACCTCATCCAAGCACATTAGCATCCCAACACTCATTTTAGTGACCTCTGAGGCTCCATAGCATCACATCCAGGGCCAAAGTCAGGAGAAAGCCTGCCATGTTCACTTCTTGCGGTGCTGGGGATGGAACCTGGGACTCTTGTGTTCTAGGTAAACACTCCTGCTGAGCCATATCCCAGCTCTGGCCCCTGGTTCTAGAGTCCTAGTTCTTCAGCTGACCTGTTTCCAGGCAGAGCCTTGGCCTTACTCTTCCCACATGTTCAATGTAGCAAGAATCCACTAGCAGTGAGCCACGTGGCAGCCGAAAGGACCGCAGCTGTGTCCTAGGCCGGGTCTATGGCTGCTGTCTGGTCTAGGGCCAGCTGTGGAATGTTCTGGAGCTTGGCTCCATCTAAGAGACAATATTTGTTCACGGTACCTGCCCTGACTGGAGAGGCGTGGCTACAGTTATGGCTGTCCTGGACTTTGTAGAGCTGGCTGGCCTCTGTCTCCCAGAGTGCTGGGATGTTACAGCTTAAGGCTGCTGTTTCCTAAGGATCCTGTTTCCCCTTCCCACGATGGCCCAGATTCTCAAGTCTTCCTCACCCAAAAGGGATGACAGGTGGCGTGTAATAAAAGAGAAAGTGAACCCCTGGGCCATTTGCAGAACAGTATGAGATCAGGTGAAGGGAGCAGAATTACCCCCACAGCTGTGGCTTCCAATCCACCTTATCTAGCATTAAAACCAGGCCTGCCTGCTGCCCCAGCAGCTTCCAGAGTCAAGCCGCCTGTGATGATACCTGACTCAAGATACTTAACGCTGATGGCTCCAGCCATGGCTGGGAAGGTGGCTGCTTCCAGCCTCTGGTGAACGTCAGACCAGTTCACAACTTTGCATGTCTGAGAGTCTACCTGCTGCTAGGGACACAGCTCTGGGGCCAAGGAAGGGTCTTTGAGCATGCCTTCTGCTCAGCTTCGGTTGGTTTAGGGCAGGCTCCCCCTCGTGGCCGATAGAATCTTAAACCCTGGACTCAGGTGGACCACGTTGCAAAGCGTGTTCTCAAAGACTGGGATTCCCTGATCTTTGGGGGGGGGTGTGTCAAAGTGAGAGTCAGTTTACAGCAACAAAGCAAGACACAGAAAGGCCAAGTTGTCTATTCAAGGTCATCCACCGGAGAAGTGGCAGGCCGAGATTCACGATGGCCAGCCCCTCAGCGTTGAGCACTGAGGTGGCCAGGGAATGGACGTTTCATCTTCAAGACCTAGCGAACACGCGCCCTGGAGGACGTGGGGAGCACCGGGGGCGGGTCTCACCTGGGGCGCCCCTGGTCGAGGTGGCGAAGGTCCCCTGGTGCCCCCTGGCGGCCAAGCTCCTCACTGCGTCCGGCCCGTGCCTGTCACCACCCACCACGGTCATTTGGACCCACAAAGTCATACCAGCTGACCCTGGCAACAGGAAGAGTCCCTGGATAACCCCACTGGAGCGCTCGCCCTCCTGAGTGCTTTTAAGGCCTGGAAGGTCTCGACCCAACTTGAGGCCAGCAAGTACTTGGAGGGATGACGTCATGTGTGCCCGAAACTCCTCCCCCTCTCCCAGGCCTACTGGAGTTAATTCGGGGAGCCCGCAACCTCAACGTGGTGACCCTGCTGTTCTGTCCCCGAACCAGCCAGCTTGGAGGTCATTCAGGGCAAGGCACGCGAAGCCGCTTTACATCGCCACTCTGCTTCCAGCTCCTGTCTGTGGGGACTCACTCTGTGGCCTGCTTGGATAGGCCCCCTGCTGCCGTCTATCCCTTATCTCCGAGGACTGTCTTCCTGCTCCTCCCTCCCCTCCCCACCCCACCCACGGCTCATCCTCCACTTAGCATCCTGGGGGGGATATTTTTAAAACACAACTCAGATCTTAATGCTCAGTTCCCTAGGCTGGCCTCCCACTGGGATTGGAGAATGGGGGGGGGGGGCAGGGAGAGGGAGTACTGTTCAAGAGAAGGTGGCCAGCCGAGTTAAACTTTTCAAGAATAACACAAAGCTAGCGAGTGTGGGGAGAAGAGGCAGTCAGGACCAGGACTAGTGACCAGAGAAGGTGAGAAGCCTGTCTTCAGGGACCTAAGCAAAGAAATAAGGTCCTTAGGTTTAGAGTTTAAACAGATACTTAATTGCACTTCTGTGTTTACAGTGACTGAAGTTACTTTAAACAGCTTAAGGGTGGCCAAGCAAGATGGCTCAGTGTGTAAGGGTGCTTGTCCTTAAGCCTGGACAACTGAGTGTGATCCCCAGTCTACATTAACCTCTGACCGCCATATAAGCACTGTGTATATACACACACTCGCACAAAATAAATTAATAAAATTAATTTAAAAAAATGGTTAAAGAGAAACAGACACAACCAGACACACACACACACAAACACATACACAGACAGGCATAGGTTCCTGGGGAAAGGCTGGTTTCCAGTTCCTTATGTGTGTATGGAAATTTCCATGATGAAAAGTTAGAAGAAAAAGGGAAGGGAGGGGAAGGAAGGGTGGAGTCCTGGCTTCAAGCTCCTAAGTAGAAGATCCTTCTGGTTGCCACTGGGAGGAGCTATGGGAAGCTGTTGGGTCCTCCCAGGAGCCAGGGCGTAGATCAAGATCACGTTCAGTCCCCAGAGAGAACCCGGGGGGAACTTGGAGACATGCTTTGGAGGCTGAGCCCATAGGCTTCTACTGTTTCTACTTTCTGTTCCTCTGTCTCTCCCTTCCTCCCTTCTTCCTTCCCTCCCTCAACCCAGGGCAAATGCTATACTGATTTATACTTCACTGACTCCTTCTTGCTATTCTACTTCTGTCGGGTTATTTTCCTAAGATTTATTTTTAATTTTGTGAATGTTGTGCCCACATATATGAATGTGTACTCCCTGCAGGCCTGATGCCAGTGGAAGCCAGAAGAGGGTGCTGGACACCCTGGAACTGGGGTTGCAAACAGTTGCCAGCTGCTGTTTCCTCTACACGAGCAGAAAGTGCTCTTAGCTACTGAGCTTCATCCCTGTTTTGTTTGGGTATTGTTTTATGAAACCTGTGTGTAACCCTGTTGACCTTGAATTTTTTAACAAACCTATTTTATTTAGGGTTATTAAACTCTCCTACCTCCCTTCCAATCCCACAACACTGGGTAGGAGGGAAAGGTTAGTGGGGGTGGGGGAGCGGAGTTTTCTATGCTACTTCCCTCTGGGTAGGATTCTGTTGGGGCAATACCAGGATCAGTGGTCCAGAAATCCAGCAGAAGTCCAGGGCACCAGCAAACCAGCAAACAGCAAAAGCAGCAGCAGCAGCAGCAGAACACACCAGGAGCAAGCAGCCCTCCTCCAAGCAGCCACGCCTTAGTCCTCTGGGCCGTCATATTTATACCCCTCAAAGTCCTCAGACTTCAACTAATTCCACCTGGCAAAGACCGTGCTCTGCATGAGACACTTAACAGGTGTGGACAAACCAACTCCCCCCACTTGAAATTTTAACAAAAACATGTTTACATATCATAAACCAAAACATCCATAACATAACCCAATTGCCTTGAATTTTTTTTTTTCTTCTTTCTCTTTTTGTTTACTTATTTGTTTTTTGAGACAGGGTCTCATTATGTACCTCTGACTAACGTGGAACTTGATATAAAGACCAGGCTGGCCTTGAACTCACAGAAACCTACTTGCTTCTGCCTAGGATCACAGGTCTGAACTGCTACACCCAGACCCAGCAGCGGGAATGAATCTGTGCACCGTGTGTGCAGTGCCTGTGGAGACCAGAAGAGGGCACCACATCCCTGCACCTGTAGTTAGAGATGTGTGTGAGCCACCATTTGAGTTCTGGGAATAGAACCCAGGTCCTCTGAAAGAGCAGCCAGTGATCTTAACTGTGAAGCTGTCTCTTCAGCCCCCGTGTTTGGTACGTCTATTAAATCGTTGTGTGGAGCCATTCAGACTTTTGATAGTGTTTTGCCATTACAAGCAGGAATGAACTTGATGCTATTCCCTATGCTGTCAAGGCCAGCCTGGTCTACTTGGCAAGTGTTGGGATTCAGGCCAGGACAAGCGGCTCAGGTGCCTATTTAACATATCAAATCTGACCTAGCCTCCAAGTTCTCCCAGCATCCCTCAGTCCCTACCTGTTACAGAGGCGTGGCTGGCATACCCTGCCCTCTACCCTCAACTTTCCTCTCCCACAGAGGCTCTTCACTATACAATCCACTATACATCGTTCTCTCTTTCTCTCTTTCTCTCAATCTCTCCTCTGCCTCCTCCTCCTCGCTCTCATTTCTCTCTACGCTCTGCTTTCTCTCTCTGCCCCTCCACCAAACCTTTTCTGTCTCCCTCTGCGTAGTGACTTCCTTGGCCCTGTTTCTTGGGGCCAGTGAACCCTCCTTATGGCTGCCCCCAATAACCCTGGCTTTATACTTTAATTTGGCTTGAATTGGTTCCTTTCATTGATGGAGAATACCTATCAGCAAGTAAAAGGCTAGCCAGAACTACAGAGACCCTAATA